AATTATCGCAAAAATACTTTACATTTTTACCACTGTTAATAATTCGTAACATTTCATCATCATACTCAAGACATTTAGTATGAACGGAACCATCACAAAAACAACATTTCACCACAGTTTCTTTCGTATTCTTAAATCCACTTTTACACTTGACGCAGTGTCCCTTAGACATAATTAAAAGTAAACTTCAATAACAAAGTCAAGGTGACCTTAAATCAACTTGCAAACGAAACTCAAACTTCTTATTTTTAAACAAAATTAACAAATGAGAAAGTAATCTAATTCTAGAACTTCAATTAAATCAAAACGATACAATTTCAACGAAAAATAACGGATATAAATTACATAAATTAAGAAAAATTCGCACAAATGTCATTTGCATCTGTCCGAGATACTTAATCTATGTCAACCGTAGTTCAGTTTCATCTGATGAAGAAGATCAATCTGACTGTTGTAATCAAAAGTCCAAAGGTATGGTTTTACGTGACAGGAATAATATCAAAAAGCCATCTCGTTATAATCCTTTTGTTATGTCTGCATTATGTGAAGTACTTGAACCAGAGAGCTAGAAAGATGCCATTCAAAGTGATGAAAAAGATGAATGGTTTAAAGCCATGAACAGTGAAATGCAGTCATTAGAGGAAAATCAAACGCGGGATTTGGTAAGTCTTCCAAAAGGTCATAAGGCAATACCATGCTCGTGAAGTGATATGGCTCAAACAATTGTTGAACGACATTGTAGATCTAAAGAAAAAGCCAGAAATTTTTGTCGACAATGAAGCAGCGATTCGTTTAGCACATAATCCAGAACTTCACAGAAAAACAAAGCATATCCAAATTAGACATTTTTGTCAGAGAAAAGGTTGCAAAAAAAGAAGTTTCAGTTGAACGAGTTGCGACAGAACTTCAAGTTGCTGATGCCCTGACAAAACCAATGGTAGGACCAAGAATAAAGAATCTGATGTGTGCGATGGGTCTTCAGAAAATTTAGGTTAAGGTCATCTAATGTTTTAAATAAAATGAGAAGGTGTTAAGTTTTATGTTTTATATTAAAACATTATAATTTATAATATACATTTATTTTTTTGGACCAAATGTTCTTTGCTTTGTATGTAATAAACAAGTCAAGGACGTTGCTTAGTTTATTTCTCTTCTTTTAATGTCTTTCAATATTATATAAATTAATTAAACGATCTACGTTACAAGAAATTTAACAGCCACAACACCAAGATCATTTCCTTAATCTTAGTAGCCATCAGTTGACAATAGATGTAAAAAAATTTTTGAACCTCGGCTTAAATTGTCTATAATGCACTGAAAATGAGTAATTTATAACTCGAAATAGCTATCTGCAAATTTATTTAATAAAATTTTTAAAACAAAAAAATAAAACTAGTTAAATCCATCGATCAATAAATCAAAAATTTGCTAATATCGGTAGCAAGTAATTTAGTCTTGAAAACTGTAAAAAAATGGGGATGAAACTACTTTTTCCGGTAAAGCGTTCCACATTCTGACAACTTTGCTAAAGAAGTTTTTGGTGATGTTATTGTTGGTGGTTGGTTCACGCAGCTTACTGGGATGACCACGAGTTGACAAATATTGTGAGGGGCAAAAATGATCGTTTAAATCTAAGACGACAAGCTTGTTTAATAGTTTGTACACTAGACACAAGTCAATAATTGCTCTGCGATGTTCTAAGGTTTGAATTCCAGCAGCGTTTAGTCGAGACAAATACGGATAAAGGCGAATTGAAGTAATGGCTTTCGTGAATCGTCTTTGAACACATTCCACTTTGAATTCTTGATATTTATAATAAAGACTCCAAACGGATGAACAATATTCTAACAATGGACGAACGTAAGTGCAGAAGGCTTTGATAATTAGCACTTTATGTCTTGGTGTGAAACATTTGCAGATAAGACGAGCACGAGTAAAAGCTCTGTGTGTGATATTGTTGATATGATGATTAAATTTCAATTGATTATCGAAGATAACGCCAAAATCTTTAAAATACTCAACCGGCGTTAAAGCGTGGTGATCGATTGAGTAATGATGTACGGCTGGAACATTTCTAGATGCTGGCAAAAACGAGCACAGAGAACATTTGTTGGAAGAAAGTGGTAGCTGCAACCTGTTACTCTATACAACAATGTTGTCGAGGACCTGTTGTAACTGTACGAAATTTGATGAACTGGTGTATAATTTGATGTCATCAGCAAAAAGTAGCATCGATACAGGGTTTGATGAAATGCAATCCTCGATGTCGTTGATTAAAATTAGAAGTAGAGTTGGTCCCAACACGCTTCCCTGAGGAACAACACTAGACACTGCAATGGAATTTGAAAGCCTATTTTGAATCCGAACGATTTGAGAACGGCCATGTAAAAAATCAGCCATCCACAAGAGCAAGCTACCAGACACTCCATAAGCCTTTAATTTACAAACCAGTTTGGCATGCGAAACGGAATCGAATGCCTTTTGGAAGTCAAGATAGACTGTGTCGCATCTTTCCTTTTGTTGACGAATCGATAACAGATCGCTTAAAAATTTAAGGAGGTTGGTAGAAGTTGATCTCGCAGGCTAAAAACCGTATTGAAAATTGGAGATTGAATTATTATCTAGCAAGTGAGATAATATATTCTTGTTGATGATATTTTCCATAACTCGGCATGATGAACAGGTGAGTGATATTGGTCGGTAGTTGCTTGGGAGATTGGTTGGACCTTTCTTATGAATAGGATTAATAAAAGCTGTTTTCCATTTTGTTGGTAGAGAATTAGTTTTAAATGATATGTCAAATAATCGCATTGTTGGCCCGATGCTCTTCATCTTTCTTCTCTTGTTATACTGTTCACGGAGCCTTTGTCATTTGCTCAATCATTGGCGTTTCGTTGATCTTCAGCATCTGAATTTGACATTGGGCAATATTGGTGCCCAATGTGGACATGGGTGTTGAGCTGATTCATCAAATTGGTCACTGCATCAGACATGCTTCGAACCGCTCGCTTAAAACAATTGCTGAGGGCATCCATTCGAAGTAACGTTGATTCAAAGAGTTTGCTCATTAATCTTTCAGAATCAGTCAATGATATGCGCAAGTTTTCGTTTGACCTTTCGATGACTGTTGTAAGACTAGAGTCGAACTTTTCAAATATTTTTTCAAGGTTGCCGTTGGATAGTGCTATCACCCACACCAGGTTTTCATTTGACTTGTCTAGAATTTTAGTAACAATTAGGGATGCACCGGATTTAAGTTTTCCAAGTCCGGCCGGATTTAAAATTCAAAAACCGGCCGGGCCGGATTTTAGTTACCATTTTACATATGTTAAAAAAAATAATCACATTTACGGTTATCTACATGCTGAACATAAAAAAATAACACCAAGCAAATAGTTAATTAATTCAAATATATGAATAAGTTGTGTGATATGCCAAATTCTGTACACAAAGATCAGCTTATAATTTATGCATACCCGTGTTATAGCATTAAGAAAATTGTCCAGCTCACCTCACAATTAGTGATGTTGTTATTATATGTCATGTATGCACGTGTACAGCTTATAATTTATGCAAAACCCATGTTATAGCACAAAGAAAAAAAAAATTGTCCAGCTCACCTCACAATTAGTGATGTTGTAATTATGTGTCATATTATGTGCCTACCCTAACCTTTAACATCATGTTCTTAAATTATGGTCTATTACCAACATTTACTCGAAGTTCTGCGACCAACCGATGTAATCTAACAATCGAACAAGATCGCGAGCAGCGACTGCTCCATCTCTCTCGAGAATTAGAAGTTAAAAAGAAGGTAGTTCAAGAAAACGAACTACAAACATATTAACGCCAAACATTCAGTAGAATTTATAGAATATTGTAAAAATATATATATATATATAATTTATAAAATATTGTAAATGTATATATATATATGTCTGTATATATATATATGTCTGTATATATACATATGTCTGTATATATATATATATGTCTGTATATATATATATCGTATATATACTATATATACTGTATATACTATATACAAGTATATAGTATATACACGTGCACAAGTTCTTTTACACAAAGATCAACTCATAATTTATTTATGCATAACCCATAAATATAAAACAAAAAATGACAGCCTCACTCCCAATGGTGCTATCGATGAAGAAAAGGAAACCAACGAAGATGGACCAGCCAATAAAGAAACCTGACACCTAATTTCCATCTAAGTTCACTTTGACAAAGTGAATATTTCCATATATAAACTAAATTGCACTGATGATTTACACGGAATCAAAATATGGCCTTATTTGCAGCATGAATTCGGAAAATAAGTTTATTTTGAATTTTAATAAACTAAACGTTCACCAAAAGACTGTAGTGAGAAAAATCGAAGAAACGAACTACAAACATATTAACGCCAAACATTCGGTAGAATTTATAGAATATTGTATATATATATATATATATATATATACATACAATAAATATAATAAATGTGATGTAATATATATAATATATATATATATATGTATGTATGTAATAAATTCCACGGATTTATTATATATATTGATATATATTTTTACCCTTAACTTTATTTTAGTGAGGATGTGTTTAATTTTATGTTTAATTTTGTGTTATTTTATTTTTTGATGGCGCGAATTTTATTTAACTAGCGCTAGATAAATCTTTTGATAATAATAATAATAAATAAATATATATATTTTTTTTTACAATATTCTATAAATTCTACCGAACATTCTGTAGAATTTATAGAATATTGTAAAAATAATGGTCTATTACCAACATATATATATATATATATATATAAATATACTATATATATATATATATATATATATATATATATATATATTATTGGTAAACCATTACCCGCCATAGGTCAGACGTACGTTTCGTCTCTCACGAGACTCGTCAGTAGCCTGTCGAATAAGGCTTAAGATAACACAACTCAATTATTGTAACGAAGAAACTCAAATTGAGGTGTCGCGACCAATAGGTAAGAACAACATCTCGTTGTTACAAGGTTTAAGAACCCATTCAGTCGCAAGAGGTATTATTGGTAAACCATTACCCGCCATAGGCCAGAAGTACGTTTCGTCTCTCACGAGACTCGTCATATATATATGTGTGTGTGTGTGTGTGAGTGTGTGTAATAAATTCCACCGATTTATTAGTGCTGTTTATCAACTTGTATTCGAATTTTTCAATTTGTCTTAGTAAATTTTTATCGACAAGATTAAGTCTGTTTAAAATTGAAGCTTTATTTTTATTAACAAACATTTAGCAACAGGCAAAATTACTGCAAATAGATCTATTTTGACGTTAAACCGTCATCGTCAGTGCATTATTTGTAAATTTATTAATTAGTTTTAATACGGCTTTAGTAATATTAAAAACATATACAGATAAATTCGAAAAAGAAACATGAAATTGTAATGAAAAATTTTAACAACGAAATTTTTAAATTGTTTAAACGATAGTTGTCAAGGCGGCATTGGGTAGATATGTGTGGGAACCCGCTGCAGAGATCAAGGCCAATTCTTGGCTACAATTTGCCGACGATTCGGCTACTATTGCACACAGTACAGAGGGGGCACAAAAATTAATCAATCTCAATCAAGCGTGGTGCATATGGGCAAGAATGGAAATGAGGATAGACAAATGTGTTTTGTTTGGGATGCGTGAACGTGATGGCAGCTACGAGCAATTCCGGCCAAAACTGACTATTGATGACATAGTGATTCTACAAGTGGCCATGGGAAAAGATTTTAAATACTTAGGTAAAGCTTACGATTTTTGATGCACAAATGATGAATTAAAAAACAAACTATCCACAAAACTGTCATCCGTGCTAAAAATAACAATCAATCAATCAATGACCCTCCTTTGTCCATCGAGGGACCGTCGAGGCCGATGGTGTACATATAAGCATGCTTTTTACTTTTACTTTTTCCTTTTTTCTTTCCAAAAACCTTTTCCACCTTTGACTAGTTTTATTGAATTCAGAATACCAACACCAGTCCATTCAGTAATGTCATCTATCCATTTCTTTGCAGGTCTACCAATTTTTTTCTTCCAATCTCTTTTCCTCATTAGTACCATCTTAATCAATCTGTTTTCTCTCATTCTACAAATGTGTCCAAAAAATCCCAATTTTCTTTTTCTGACTTTATCATATACACTTTTCTGTCTTACAAGTTGATTTTTGATGGTTTCATTCTTTATTTTCTGCCTCCAACTGATTTCCAACAAATTTCGGTAACACTTCATCTCAAATGCTTCCAATCTGTCTTTGTCTCTTTTTTTTATTGTCCATGTTTCACATGCATAGAGCAAGCTCGGAAAAACACAAGATTTTATCATTCTCAACTTTGTTTTTATAGATATATTTCCAATTTTCCATATTTCCTTCAATGATGCAAACATTCCATGGGCAATTGCTATCCTTCTGTCAATTTCTTTGGTGCAGTTTTTGTCACAGGTTATAAAACTAATACACAAACCGGTCTATTTGTTCGAGTTTTTCTGATTCTATCTGAAATTCTGCATTGTTTCTGCCTTTTCCAGTAATCATCACCTTTGTTTTGTCTTTGTTGATATGCAACACGTGATCTTTTCCACAAACATGTGTTAGTTCAATTAGTTTCTGTAGACCTTCTTCACTAGAAGCTAGAAGGTCTATATCGTCTGCAAACTTGAGATTCTTAACAGTTCTCTTCCTATGTCAATTCCACCCAATTCCGAATTTTCCATTTTTTCCATTGCTCTTTTTAGCAATGCTATGAATATTATTGGTGATATTGGATCGCCCTGTCTGCTTCCAATGTCTGCCTTTATCCAGTCCCCAAGTTCTGTACCTATTATTACCGACATTTTTGATTCTTTATAAAGTCTTTTTAGTACTTTGACCAGCTTTTCTGATGTCCCCATACTTTCTAATGTTGCCCAAAAATTTTCATACCAGACAGAATCAAACGGTTTCTTAAAATTAACAAAGCAATGGTAAATTGTCTGACCATTACTTTTTGCATCATCCATCAGCAGTCTTAACATCAGAATTTGTTGGATTGTGCTTCTGCCCTTTCTGAAGCCTGCTTGTTCTTTATGCAGATGCTGCACTATGACCTTTTCTAGTCGTTCTTTTATGATGGTCAGCATGATCTTGCATATGTGCAAAATTAGTGCAATTGATTTTTTATTATTACAGTCTTTTTGGTCTCCTTTTTTTGGCAGCACAACCAGAACTGACTTGCATCATTCTTCTGGCCACTTTTCACTTTCCCAAATTTCTTGACAAATTGTGTAAATTTCTTTACACACGACTTGTCCTCCTGCTCTTATCAGTTCTATCGGAATATCATCCTTCCCTGTACTTTTGTTGTTCTTCATTTTACTCATTGCTCTTGTAATTGCTTTTTTCGTTATTTTATTTTCTTCTTCATTGATTATTTTTTTGCTTTTCAAAATTTCAAGCGTTTCTTTTTTGTATGTGTTCTTGTCTGTGAATAAGTCTTTAATACATTCAGTCTATCTATCCTTAATCTTTTTACTTTTGTTTGGATGTTTCCGTTTTTATCTTTAATAATCCTTGACATATTTTTCTGTTTTCCTTTTAACAGTTTGACCAGCTGGTACGCCTCTCTTGTCTTGTTTGGCCTAATCATCGTCTCTACCTTTTTACATTTACCATTAATCTATCTCCTTTTATCTGCTCTAGCACTCTTTTTTATTTTTTGGCAGACTTCTTTGTATTTCATTATTTTCTTCACTCTGTCTTTTTGTCATTATCAAACTTCTTCTTTCTTCTACAAGGTTCTATGTTTCATCGCTTATTTACGGTTTTATTTTGTTCGTTTTGATTTAACAATTTTCACCTGCTGCTTTGAAAATTTTTTCTAAGTTGCTAACTTTTGTTTTCATATCGTAATTGGCTGCTGAGTCAAATTCATGTTCGATTTTAATTATTATATCCTCCATCTTCTGCTTTATTATTTCTGTGTTGTATCTCACTTTCCTAATGCTTTCTCCTATTTTAAGCTTTTGTTTCATCTTCATGGTGACGTTGCATAAAAAAAGGTAATGATCTGATCCAATTTCTGCACTTGGGAAAGCTCTACATTGGGTGACAAATTTCATCCATTTCTGTTCGATCAGTATTAAATCTATCATGTTCATTGTTTTTCCACCTGGTAACTCCCAAGTACATTTGTTGTTGTTTTGCCTCTTTGTGTTTGTGACATACAATTGTCGGTCCTTCACAAACTCTAGTTACCTTTCTCCTCTATCATTTCTATCTCCTACACCGTATTTTCCCATAACTTCTTCAAATCCAATGTTGTCACTTCCAATTTTAGCATTCTTGTCTCCAACAATGATCTTAACATCTTTCTTTAGTAATGTTTTCAATGTTTGTTCCAGTTGTTTGTAGAACGTTTCAGCTTCATCATCCGAATGATTTGTTGTTGGAGCATAAGCAATTATCACAATGGCTAAAAATAGCAACAGAGCTAAATTTCAAGCCACAACAAAAAATCCTAATTTTAAAAGTTTTCATTCCATGCCAACTAAATTTCGACCTTCGTTCGAGCGACATATCTCTTACATGGATTGAAAACAATCTAGACAATCTAATAATTAAAACGGTCTGAAATTGGCTCTCAATTCCTATTTGTAGTTGCGTGGCGGAACTCTTATCACTGCTTACAAAACATGGGAGGCACAACATAAAGTCTTTGAAAGATTTCACCAAAATAATGAGATTAAAGCTAAGCAGCTACTTAAAAACAAGCCAAAACAAAGAAATAAGATGTCTTTGGCAGGAGTCTTCCTTCAATTATAGTAAAATCGATAATGCTCTAAATAATACAGACTCCCTGTAATCAGCACTGTCAACCACATTGAACAAACGTATGGAGACTCAATATAGCCATGTTGAGGCTCTTCAAAGTCAAGGAGTGTTATTAAAATCTATCAAAAAACACATCACAACCAAACAAATTTGCCGTTGGTCAAAATCACTGGCTAACCTCTCAACTCTATTCAAATTTATTAGAAAATATCTCATACAGCAGCTGCCAACTAACGCTAATCTTTTTAGATGGGGTATTATGAATAACCAACTTTGCCCTCTCTGCAAAGCCAGTCAGACAAATAAACATGTTTTATTCAAATGTGGATCAATTTCAGCACTGGCTCGCTACACTAAAAGACACAACAAGATTCTATCGCTAGTTGTCAACGCTTTAAAACTACAAAAACAACCGGAGTGTGTCATCTACGCTGATAAAGACATTGAAGAAATACTACCCGATATCAGCCCTGTTCGAATCAATACTCCCCGACGTTGCCATCCTCCGTGGGAGGACCATTGAAGTTCTAAAACTCACTGTATGCCACGAGACAAACTTGGCTAAGTCAAAAGAGTATAAAATCAACAAATACAAAGACAAGCTCAAGGCCAACCTCAAAGACAATTTTAAACATTATAAAATAATTCTTAAAACATTTGAAATATCTCCAATAGGACTTTTTAATAAATTTAACTTACAATTAATTAACATAATATGGTCAAATTCGTTTGTAAATAAGTTGATTTTAACAGCAATAACTCAGTCTAACAATATCTACTGTGAACGTAATAATCGATTACATTCTTTGATACCTTTAAACTTTTAAACTTAAAGGCAATGAGTAAAAAGTTTTATTATCAATAACTCCATTTTATTATCGTATAAATTTTATTGATTATATTTTACTTACTGCATTATTAAGTCAAACTAAATTTAATAACCATTAACTTTTAACGAGGTGTGCTTCAAGGCAATCCCGTCTCTCCATTGCTTTTTAACCTATGCTTCAACCCCCTAATGAAAAAACTCAAAAAAACCGAATTTCAACAGTGTGGTTACATATGGGGCCCAACAGCAAGTCTTAGAACAAGAGCATAGTTACAGTTTGCGGACGACACGGCAATCATTGCCAACAACACTGAAAGTGCACAGAAGCTTATTGATGTAAACCGGGCTTGGTGCAATGCAACCGACATGAAACTAAGAATTGACAAATGCTAAATATTCGGCATGAGGAAAAAAAACGGTTTTTACGAGCAATTTTTTCCGATACTGACCATCGATGAAAAACCAATTTCTCAGGTTGACATAGGTGGACACTTTATTTATCTGGGCAGGGTCTACAATTTTGAAGGCAACAACAGCAAGACTAAAGAACAACTGGTTGGAAAGTTGAAAAAATTTGTTGTCAGTGATAAACAATCTCGACCCTACGGCAAACTGGAAAATACAAATTCTACGTAGATATGTACCATCGCGATTGGCATTTGAGTTGCGGACATACAACATTTCCTTGACCTGGATAAGCAAGCGCCTTGACTTTTTTATTGTTGAGTCGGTGAGATCATGGCTATCGCTACCAATCAGCAGTTGTGTTGCGGAATGCATGTCCCTCCCCTAAAAAATGGGAGGCTTGAACATTAGGTCTCTCAAACACTATGCCGAATCTTTGCGGATCAAATTACGCAATTATTTAAAAGCACATAGCAATGATGAACTAAAGTGTTTGTGGTTCAACAACTATATTGCGATTGACAACCAACTCCCTGATTCGAGCGATATCAAACCTACGCTCAATATGACAATGCTTCGACAACAAAGTGCATAATTTGCACGACTGACCTCACTCCGTTGTCAAGGTACAATAGTCAAAGCAATCAGCAATTAAATTCCTGCGGCTCGAATTGCTCACTGGTTACGTTATATTATGAGCCTTCCAGAGGTTCTGTTCAGATTTGTCCGGAAAGGTTTAATTCAACAGCTGCCGACAAATGCCAATCTGTCCAGATGGGGAAAATCTTCCACTGCCCAGTGCTCGTTATGCGAAAATATGCAAACCAATAAACATGTATTATCCAACTGCAGCTCAGCATTGGCATTGGGTAGATACACTACAAGACACAAAATTTTAGCAATAATCCTCGACAAGTTAAAATCATATGCCACCCAGACGCTTCCATTTTTGCTGATCTTGAGACAGGCGATTTTCAACCACCATCACGCTTATTCAAAACATTGCGACCAGATATCGCATTGCTACGCGGCGAAACGTTGGAAATCCTGGAGTTGACAGTCTGCCATGAAACTAACTTCTTCAACTCTAAAAACAACAAACAATCAAAATACTTGAAATGAAAAGTAACTTAAACGACCACTTGAAACATTTGAAATAACAATAAATACATTTGAAATATCTACTTTAGGTCTCTTTAAAACATTTAATCTTTCATTAATAAATATTATTTGGACTGATTAATTTTGCAATAACCTTATAAACTCTGCCATATCATCGTCACACGCTATTTATTGCGACAGAAATGTGAAATTAATCAATTTTAAAACTAATTAACTCTGGTCGTACTTTTTCGATTCGAAATGATGAGCTTCTCAGATTAATACTCTATTTATTGCATTTGACATTTTATTTTATTTCATTGGTTTATTTTTTTGTACTGTCATTTTTATTGTTTTTTATTGCTGAATAAAAGATCATTCCCATTATTGCTGTTGGTTTTTAAACAAGAGAGTCGCTTTAATGTAGCTCACTGTTTATTTTAGCAATATAGGTTTTATTGAAGTTTTATATATTTAAATTTTATATCAAATTGTGGAATAATCTATAAGGCAAATGACTGTGGTTTTAAAATTAGGTTTTATTAAATATTTTAAATTTAATGGTTTTATTGGTTTAATTTCGATTTTAATCTCTTCTAATACAGTTAACGCAACAATTTAAGTGTCTATTTAAGTGCCAGGAGGTGTACAGCTGTTCGTTTTAACTCAAAAAAAAATATTTTACCAAACAATAACGTTAGCATTTCTCCGAATTTATTAACAAATAATAATAATATTTTACCTGATAATCCAAATAATTTAACTTGTTGTTGCGGCAAGCCAAAAAGACTGTCAATGCATCAAAGAGCCTGTAAATTTTACAAATCTCTCAAATACACAAAGTCAGAAGTGGAACCAAACGACAGCGAGGACAACAATCCAACAACATTCTAAAACACGTCGACTCCAACAACTACTCCAAAATCATTACCTGGAATAAAACTGCCCAAATCGTCATCATATTGGGCTGAAACCAAGGCATTTTCCATATAGAACTAGAGCGTCTCGATGACTGTGCGGATGTCGACAGCTTCGCCATCGGTTTTCAAAATACAATCTACTCATATTTTGCGTCCAACTATGGTACATTTGCAAAAGATTCAAAACCTGGTGAACACAGAAATTACGATATTCGACGCTTAAAAACAAAATTTAAAAACTTAAAGACATTGACTCATAGCCAACTCATAAATGACGTCGTGGTGCCCAGCATACAAATAAGGGCAACATTAAACAAAAATAGACTAAATAAAAAGAACAACAACATTTCAACAATATTTTTAACAACTCGAACTCTCAATCGCCACTCTTCAATATCGAAACCGCCACCAATTTTTTAAAAAATCTACTCAACGCAGGTGACTGCATCCCTTTTCGTCTTTCAGATTGGATTCCTCCTCTTCCCGCTCTTTCATTTTAAAGAAATTTAAATCCGTCAACTCACACCGAGATCATAGTAATTGTCAGGAAAAGCAAAACAAAAGCATTTCCTTGTCCACTAGACCAAATTTCAATCATAACTCTCAAAAGATGCCCAATATTAAGAAGATATCTTCACAAATTGTTTGTAATGTGTTGGCGCTCTGCAACAATTCCACGATGTTGGCGCGAAGGATTGACGGTCTTGATCTTGATCCCATCCAATTTCCGTCCGAGTACTCTACAAAATACAAAGAGTATAAACAATTTGGCTTTCTCTGGGGCCCAACTTCTTCGGCAATCATAGCACACAGCACTGGTGGAGCACAAAAACTGATCGATTTAAATCAAGTTTGGAGTAGCTGGTCAGAAATAAAAATGAGAGTTGATGAATGCTGCTCTTTTGGAATGAAGTAGAAAGATCCGTTTTTGCCCCGACTAAGGCCAATCTTTTACATACGTAAGCAAGTTATACGATTATGAATGCAAAGACTCCAAAGCAAAAGGCGAGTTAAAGTCAAAAGTCATTCAGCTGTTGGAAGGGATTAGCGGCTGTGTAGCAGAACTTTGCTGCCAGCAAATATTAGAGGTCTGACGCTATGCATAGGACGCTCATAAATGACATTATTATTATTATTATTATTATTATTATTATTATTATTATTATTATTATTATTATGCGAACGTGAAACACGAGAGTTGGCCGATTTCGTACAACTTACAGTTTTATGCATAATTACGTTTTTATTAGTTGATTAATTGGTTTTAAAATTGTTGTACTGTGTTGATAAAAACTGTGTGGAATATGGCGGTGGTTTTAAAATTTAATTTTAATAAAGTCTACTATTTTATTTTAATTATTTTAATAAATTTAATTTACGAAATTAATGCAAGTAAATGCCCGTATTGCGATAAGGATTTTATTCAAGTAAAAAGACACACCTGGCGTTGTGCAAAAAATACCAACTCTAACAACAACATTGTAAGTTCTGCTGAAAAATCCAACGTTGAAGTTTCTCCTAATATTTATAATGCACATTCTATAGATAACAGTTCAATTAATTTGGAAAAAATATTATTTGCTGCTGCAGTAAAAGCCGTAAAGGTAGAAAAGGCCTTATTATGCACCAGCGCTCATGTAAAATGCATAATCAACTTAAATTAGCAGACAACCCTGCAAGCGACGCAGATGCAACCTCACCAACCTCGGAGCAGCAACCATCAGAACCATCAAATAATTCGACATCTACTTCGTCACCCTCATCAACAGAATCAATAGAATCAACTCTACCAGGCGTCAAACTACCAAAAACTTCGACACAATGGTCAGAAGCAAACGCCTACTTCTAACTGCAACAACATACACTGCCAAGCTACCACGATATTGACGCATTTGCACATACATTTCAAAAAATGATTTACGACAACTTTGCCTTAAATTATGGCACCATCAAACCTCAAACGATCAACAACAACGACAAAAGTTCCAACAAATCTATTAAAGAATTAAAAAATAAATTGAAGCAACTAAAATTATTGGGCCGCAACAACCAGGGCTTTGACAATCTTATCAGATCAACAAGTAAAGAACTGCGAGCCAAACTGTTATCAACAAAAATATCAAAATCTGGTAAATTATGTGGTAACATCACGTCTCAACTAAAACGACGATTCTGGTGGACATGCAAAAGAATATTTGCCCAGACAGAAAATTTGAAACCGTTGTTCAACGTCAGTGATTGCACACATTATTTCAAACAAATACTATCAGATGATAACCAGAAAAAATGCCAACTACCAAACTGGACTCAACAGCTACAAAAACCATCAACACCCTGCAACACAAGCCCTCCATCATACCACGAAATATCTACAATAGTTCGCAAGTACAAAGCTAGATCATCACCTTGCCCACTCGATCAAATCTCGATAATTTCATTTAAAAAATGCCCTATATTACGCACTATTCTACACAAACTATTAATACAATGCTGGTTGTCAGGCAAAATCCCAATTTGTTAGAAAAAGGGCTTCACGAGCCTCATCCACAAAAAGGGAGACGCTCACAATCCTTCCAGCTTCAGACCAATAACCTTGCAACCAACACTCTACAAAATATTTTCATCTTTTATAAATAATAGAATTTACAAATTTTTAGAAATCAACAATTTCATAAATAAAAACATTCAAAAGGGCTTCTACCCGAAAATAGATGGTGTTACGGAACATAATCAGCTTTTAACTCACCTACTCTACGATGCGAAGAAACATCAAAGAACCATTATCGTTGCACTTCTCGATCTTCGCAACGCATTCGGTGAAATCAGCCATAAACTCATATCATCAACTCTGGATTTTCATCACATCCTCTCTCAAATTATCAAACTAATTGAACATATATATACCGACTACTCAATCACAGTTTCCGGATGCGACCAACTAACCCCGCCCATTCCAATCAAGCGTGGTGTATTGCAAGGTGATTCCGTGTCTCCACTGCTTTTCAACCTCTGCTTCAACCTCCTGATGAAAGTCATAGAACAAACAGAGTACCAACAATGTGGGTACATATGGGGTCCGTCAGCCAGCTTAAAGACAAGAGCGTGGCTTCAGTTCGCAGACGACACGGCCATTATCTCCAACAGCACCGAAAGTGCTCAAAAACTCATAGATGTAAATCACGCTTGGTGCAAAGCAACTGGAATGAGTTTGAGAACTGACAAGTGTTTCTCGTTCGGTATGCGAAAACGCAGCGAGGTTTACGAACAATTCCTTCCGGCGCTATCGATCGACATCAAACAAATCCCCCATGTTGACATCGGAGGTTATTTCAAATATCTGGGGAAAAAATATGATTTCGAAGGCAACAACACGAACGCCAAAAACCAGATGATCATCAAACTCAAAACATTGCTATCAACCGTCAGTGAACTGGATACTGTTGTATCCTGTTATATCCAGTTCACAACAGTTCAGTGGAAGCTTGAAATCCTTAGAAAATATCTTCCATCTCAATTTGCGTTTGAATTTCGCATGTAAGACATTTCACTGACTTGGATTAGTATGCATCTGGACACCCTAATCACCGAAACAGTAAGATCATGGCAGTCATTGCCCATTAGTAGCTGTCTGTCGGAGACATTGTTGCTCCCATATAAACTAGGCGGCCTAAACGTTAGATCTCTCAAAAATTTTGCCGAATCTTTGAGATTAAAACTCCGTAGCTACCTGAAATTAAACGGCAACGAAGAACTTAAATGTTTATGGAGCGAGTCCTATAGCAATTATATAAAAATCGACAATTTGCTTCCTGACTCAAAGGACATAAAATCGGCACTCAGCATGTTAACGATCAAACAACAAAATGCAGAACTCGAACATCTATCGCTACTCCGTTGCCAAGGGACAATTTTAAAAGTGATCAAAGACCAGATTCCCGCAGCTAGAATTGCTCACTGGTCGAAATTCACTGCAAACCTCCCAGAAGTACTGTTCAAATTTGTTAGGAGAAAAATCATCCAACAACTCCCCACAAATGCAAATTTGTTCAGATGGGGCAAATCATCAACGGCTGACTGTCCATTGTGTAAAGCGCGGCAAACAAACAAACATGTTCTGTCTAATTGCAATTCGGTGGCAGCACTAAAAAGATTCACAATGCGTCACAACAAAATTTTAAACATAATTATAGAAAGGTTGAAAGCATGCGCGGGTCCAGAGGTTTCGATATATGCAGATGTGGACTATGATGGGATCCCTCCAGTGTCTTGTCTCTTCAAATCCCTACGTCCTGACATCGCAATACTTCGTGACGACACAATAGAAATATTAGAGCTGACGGTCTACCATGAATCCAACCTACTCAACTCAAAAAAATATAAAACCATCAAATACTCAAATACGTTTATTTCAAATGATGAGCATCGTAGAATACTATTGTATTTTATTTAATTTAAATCAATTTATCTATTTTATTTTATTTTATTAGATTTTAATTAGACTTTTATCTCATTTTACTTTATTTCATATTTTTCTAGAAATAAAAGAAAGTTCACATTACATTATGTCAAAAAAAGATGCCACAGAAAGAGCAAGTTTAAAGCTGCGCAACTATTTCAAAACTAGTCAGAACAAAGAGATTCAATGTTTATACAAAAAATCGACAATCGATTATATCAAGATCGACAACACTCTCTCAAAATCAGGTTCCCTAAAATTATCGCTCAAACAATTAGAAAATTCAACCATGTCATTTTGCTAGAAAGTCAGGGCACAATTATTTCCAAAATAAAAATCGTCATCAAAGCTAACAACATCTTTCGTTGTTCATAAACTACGGAAAATTTTTGTTGGAGCTCTCTTCAAATTTGTCTAGAAATATTTAGTGTAGCAACTGCCGACAAACGCTAATTTGATTAGATGGGACAAAACACTAAGCCCTCTATGTCCTCTCTGTGGCTCTCGGCAGACAAATAAGCATGTGGTTTCTAACTGTAGTTTCACCTCCGCTCTAGCAAGATACACCGAAAGACAACAACAAAATTTTAGCCGCGATCACCAACCGGTTGAAAGTATGTGCGCCTGCCAATTGTCGGTAATTTGCAGATTTGAAATCTGACGGTTTTCAGCCTATATCGGATCTGTTCAACACCCTACGTCCCGACATAGCCATACTGCAAGGCGACACAGTTGAGGTTTTGGAGTTAACGGTGTGTCATGAAAGCAACCTAGAATCATCCAGACAATATAAGATAAATAAATATTTCGATAATTTGCATAGCTATTTAAATGACAATTACAAACACTGCTCAATAATTATAGATACTTTTGAAATATCTCCAGTTGGTTTCTATAATACTTTAATCTTTCAGTGTTTAAAATTATGTGGCCGGTTTTTTTTAATGAGCTGATAGAGACTGTTATAAGGTTATCATATGGCATTTATTGCGACAGAAACAATTTATGATATAAATTTGAATATATTTCACAGCTCTGTACTTTTATTTTGAATTGAGCATAGTGGTTTTACATTGACATTGACAGAAATCAAACGTGTCACAAATCTTTTTTATAAATAATAATTACAGCGTAGATCTTATTAAAAATGTCATCAATAAAAAGTTACAACGTATGAACAAAAACAACAACAACAACAATAATAATAATATTGTCACCATTATCAACAATAACCATAAAGGTAATTAGCAATAACAAAAATAATAATAACAACAACAACGATAATAATATTAATAACGATAACAATAACTGGAACGGTAATTACATTAATAACAATAACAACAACGGCAATTATATTAACAATAATAACAACAATAACAACAACGATAATAATATTAACAACAACAATAACAACAATTGCAATGACACTAACAACAACAACAATAATAACAACAATGATAATAATAACAACAACAATAACAACAACGATAATGCCATTGACACAAACAACATCATCAACAACAACAATAATAATAATAACACCATTATACTATTTTATCGAAATTTCATGTCTTCTTCCTACAAAACTGATAAAAAGATCGTGAAGAAGATAATTCATAATAATATTAAACCAACTAACCCGAACGATAAAATAAAATTAAGAATCTTTTACAAAACTACAAAACATCTAATTTTTTAATTTTGAATAATTGCCTACCTCACAACACTTCCCTTTTGAAACATAGTCATATATAAATTTTCTTGTCCTCTTGACAGTTGTGCGCATCTTCATACTTCCTATATAGGGATGACTACTACAACACTATCGCGTAGATTCACTATGTCCAAAAGAGACGATGCAATAAAAATCCATCTTGAAACTTTCCACAACACCCCAATAACCAGGAACCTTCTAGATAAAAACACAAAAATTTTATACAACACTCAACAGCTCTACAACATAAAAATTGCAGAGGCCATTTTCATCGAATTTGAAAAATCTGCCATCAACATCCAACAACGAATCACAACAAAACTTCCAACTCGAAGAATGAACAACAATAACGTTAATCGGATCAACCAGCAATCTAACAATGATGATAATAACAATAACGATGATAACAACAACACAATCAACAACAGCACAATCAACAACACCATCAACAACAACAGCAACAACAACAACAACAACAACAACAACAATAATAATAATAATAAAAACAATAATGATAATAATAATAATAATAATAAGAATATCGTTGTTCACTTTTAGTGTGCATGCATGCACTGATAAATTCTCGAACATTTTTCGATTAAAATCTCAAAATTTCAAAATTTAACTTTAAAAAACATTTAATAAAAAATATAGTGTTTCAAAATTTTAAAATTTGAAAATGCCAGTTGGAAAAGGAAAAGCCAAAAAACGGAAAACGATGTGCGAAGTTTCCGGATTTCTTCTCTGCGATGCGTGCAGCAAAGCCAATGAAGAAAAATTGAAGAGTTTGACTACTGCTTCTGAAAAAAGACACGAAAAACTGTTGTTAAATAATGTTTCTGCGAATCTGTCAGAAATAAGAAGGACTCTAGAAAAAGTTTAAGTAAGCCAGGAAAAATTTAAAGAATATGATATAGCTGTGTTGCATCTAGCCCACACAGTGATGAATAAATTAAATGATGGTATTTTGACGGTTGGTGTTTTTATAGATTTATCAAAAGCATTTGATATGATTGACCATGACATCCTACTTGTCAAACTGTATTCTTATGGTGTTAGAGTTCTAGTACATTTATGGTTCTGTTCATATCTTAAGAATAGGAAACAATTTGTTAATATTGGTGATCATTGTTCGGAGACTCTTAATATCAGTTTTGGAGTTCCTCATGGTTCCATTCTAAGACCTCTTTTTTATTACATTATTTATTAACGACTGGTATCATGCCTCTGAAATAACTAAATTTGTTTTTTATGCGGATGACACCACCATTCTTTTCCATACCAGAATCCTGCAAATGATTCGTCTATAATAAATGGTAAACTTGAAAAAATAGCTAACTGGTTTACCTTAAATAAGCTTAGAATCAACTATTCAAAATGCAGTTATTTAGTATTTGGTCTGAGGATTTTAACAAATTTTTTGCCTGACTTAAATATTAAAATTAACACTAACAATATTGCCCGGTCTGATTCAAATAGGTTTCTTAGAGTCTTAGTTAAAGATAATCTTTTCTGGGACAACCATATTAATTTTATTTCTGACAAATTTAATAAATTAATAGGTATACTACACAAGATCAAACATAAACTGAATAGAAATATACTTCTGAAACTGTATAACACACTCATTTATCCTCATCTCGTTTATTGTAACTTACTTTGGGGTAATTGTTCTGCTGTGCACTTGAATCAGGTCAAACGGTGTCAAAACCGTTTCATTCGTTTGTTACTTAAATCTTCATCTGTTTTGTTCTGTTTCAAAATATTACCCTGTTTTGAAAATTTTAAATATAAACAACATCCATGTATACATTGTCTCAATTTTCATGTTTAAATACCTACATGAATTACTTCCGCTTTCTTATAAAGTTTTTTTTACTCTTATAAATACTATTCACAGTAAGCTTTTAAGATACAATCCTACTTTTTATTCAAATTCAGCCCGAATAAAATTGATAAATATAAGTTTGGAACTAACAGGACCGAAGGTCTGGGACACGCTAACTCCACTTGAGGTTAAAGCTCTCAGTCACTTGCATTTGTTTAAATTTAAAATTAAACGCTACCTGGTTCAAAAAAATACTATTTTTTTGAACCAGGTTTCGTTATTATCGATTATTTAAAATTATGTTGTTTTTTCTATGTACCTTATGTATTTTGTGCATGTATGTGTGTGAGTATGTGTGAATGATAGAATGCGCGTATTGTATGAATGGATCTTTGTGTAATTTCTTTTGACTTTAATATTTTATCTGTTATTATTTGAACTCACTGGATTTAAATAATGTTATTGATTATATGTACTTATAGAATTTTTGTTATCTTTATTGGCTATCTGTGTTTAATAGCTATATAGAGGTAATTATGTTTTGATTATCTTACATTAAATAATAATAAAAATGATGTTAACAATTGTAATAACTCTGAAGAATGTATTCCTCTTATACCATTTATTTCGAACTTTTATATAACTTTTAACTTATACATAACTTCACTTAAAGGCAAAAAAGATTTAAGCATAGCATTGATTGATTATAGAAAGACATTTGACAGTATCCCACACTCATGGATTAAGGAAGTTATGGCTATTTACAAAATCCCCAGTGAGGTTAGACAATTTATTGAATATTCAATATCTAAATGGAAAACTAGGGTGTGCCTTTGCTATGACCATGGTGTGATGTTGACGGAGACTATAGAAATCAAAAGAGGAATTTTCCAAGGAAACTCTCTCTCTCGCCGCTGCTGTTTTGTATGTCTCTGTTCCCACTGACTCATCTTTTCAGCCAGCCGAGGTTGGAGTATGTAATATATGATCAGTGTCATCTACTCTATATGGACGATTTAAAGCTCTTTATACGAAACGATGATCAACTTAAAAAAGCGCTAATAATATTAAACAACTTCAGTCGTGATATACAAATGAAATTTGGATTAGACAAGTGTGCTACTCTGATTAGAAAAGTTGCGGTGGTGCGAAGCAGCGGCATAAATGTTGATCAGGATATCCACTTTAGAGGTGTAGATGCGGAAGAAACGTACAGATATTTGAGGATGGAAGAAGCGGAAGTAGTGCAACAACAAATGATGAAGGAACAATTCAAAAAAAAATAATACTATTGTAGAATAAAATTAATTTTAAAGTCACGATTGAATGCAAGAAATAAAGTAATGGCAATTCCAGTCATAAACTATAGCTTTGGTATCATTGAATGGAGACAATCAGGGTTACAGCAAATAGACAGAAGAACAAGAAAATTTCTGACTATGGGAGGAGCACATCATCCGAATGCCGATGTTGATCGATTGTACTTTGGCAGAAATGAAGGAATCAAAAATTGTTTTGAAAAGGCAATTATAAGCCACAACGAGTACATTCTCAAGAAACATGACAGACTAGTTGAAATAACTGCAAAAGATGATGAAAATAAGAAAAAATATCTAAAGAAGTGCGTATAATAAAAAATCGTCATTCCATAGATAAAGATGTCAGCAAACGAGAATTTAAAGAACGTCTGGAAGATTATCATGTAAAAAAATACAAAGATAAACAACTACATGGTCAATTTTTCAACAATACAGATAAATCAGGAAGATTATCATGTAAAAAAATACAAAGATAAACAACTACATGGTCAATTTTTCAACAATACAGATAAATCAGGAATAGATTTGAAAAAAAAAACATGGCAATGGCTAAGCAGCTCTGGACTAAAGGTGGAAACCAAAAATCTGCTAATTGCTGCACAAGATCAAGCATTAAACACAAAATACTTTCAAAAAAGAATACTCAAACAATCATTGTCCAAGATAAAAACGAAAAAATATGCCTATTGATAGATATATCTGTTCCAGACGATTTACATGTTTTGCAGAAAGAGACCGAAAAAATATGCAAGTACAAAAACTTTCAAATCGAGATACAAAGATGTGGAAGTTGAAAAAAAAATTATTCCGATTGTAGTGAAAGCACTAGGAGTAGTCTCTAAAACTTTAGAAAAAACTTTAGAAGAATTTTCGGAAAAACCAGCTTTGACCGAAGTTCAAAAAATATCATTATTAGGAACAGCGAGCATAATAAGAAAAATCCTAGGATGAATCTCTTTGGGATCTAGTTGAACCCCGGATTCGTCTATGACCAGCTTAAAAAACCAAGCTGTGAAAACTGGGATAATAATATTAATAATTGCATATAATTAACCATATAATTGCAGGATGTTCAGCACTCGTGCCAACAAGGTACATGAAGCGACACAACAATCTAGCAAAATATATTCACTGGTCAATTTGTAAACAATAGAAAATGAAGATAGATGAAAAATATTATGAGTATGAACCGACAAAAGTGATCAACCTGGATGAGCAAATTATTATAATGTGGGATTCACAGATAATTACAGATAGAAAAATTAATACCAACAGACCAGATATCACTGTCATGAATAAGATTGAAAAAATATGCCTGCTGATTGAAATATCGATACCGACTGACACGAATGTTATTTCAAAAGAAGCAGAAAAAAGATGCAAGTATAAAGATCTGGAGATTGAAATTTTACGAATGTGGAACATTAGATGTAAAGTGTTACTATTAGTAGTGGAAGCTTTAGGAATACTCGGGGATGCGACAATAAAAACTTAGAGATGATACCTCGGAAACCGAAGAAAGAAAAAGTTCAGAAAATTGCTCTACTTGGTACTGAACATATCCTTAGAAAGTTTCTTGGATGATATTCTTTGGAATTAGATAAGCCCTGGAATCATCTGCAAACCGGCTTAGACCGTGATCGACAAACAACAATAATAATAATAATAAAGACAATAATAATAATAATAACAATAATGATAATAATAATAAATTGATTAATTTCGCGCCTCACATTTTTGACGCTGTTTTTGCCGCCTTGACAACTATCGTTTAAACAATTTAAAAATTTTCGTTGTTAAAATTTTTCATTACAATTTCATGTTTCTTTTTCAAATTTATCTGTATATATTTTTAACAATATTAAAACTGTAATAATACTAATTAATAAATTTATAAATAATGCACTGACGATGACGGTTTAACGTCAAAATAGATCTATCTGCAATCATTTTGATAAAATGTTTGTTAATAAAAATAAAGCTTAAATTTTAAACAGACTCAATCTTGTCGATAAAAGTTTACTAAGACAAATTGAAAAATTCGAATACAAGTTGATAAACTCTAGTAAATTTATTACATATTGTCAAGAATTCGGCCTTCTACCAGCATATAAAAAAGAAATGAATAACAAGACACCTCAAGCATATTGACACTCAATAAAACTTTATCATTCACACAATTAGTTTTTATTTAATAAAACTTTATTATTCACACGACTAGTTTTTATTTATCGATCACCTCACTAACCCACTAAGTCATCATCTAGTTTATCAATTTGCCTTTTTATGCTTTATTATTCACATGACTAGTTTTTATTTATCGATCACCTCACTAACCCACTAAGTCATCATCTAGTTTATCAATTTGCCTTTTTATGCCATTACTTCATTTTATTGTCAATTTATTTTATTTTCTTTTATTTATTTTATTATTATTATTTATTTTATTTTTTTATTTTTCATGTTTGAACATTTATCTTTCTCCGTTTTTTATTTATTCATTTACTTATTCGTTTAATTTTGTACTACTGCCATGCATGCTGTAACAGTTTCTGCCTCTGTCAGATCCTGATTTTTAAAGAATAATAAAAAGTGCACAGAAGCTTATCGATGTAAACCGGGTTTGGTGCAACGCAACCGGCATGAAACTTAGTATCGACTAATGCTCAACATTCGGCATGAGAAAAAAAATGGTTGGTATGAGCAATTTTTTCCGATGCTGACGATCGGTTGGCATAGGAAGGCAGTTTGTTTATTTGGACAGGATCTACGCTTTTGAAGGCAACAAAATTAAGGCCAAGAACAGTTGTTTGGTAAATTGAAAAGTCTGTTGTTTGTGATAAGCAGTCTGAACATGATGGCTAACTGGAAACTGGAAATTACAAATTCTACAGTTATGTGCCGTCACAATGAGCATTTGAGCTGCGAACGTACGACTTTTCCTTGATCTTGATAAGCAACTGCCTTGACTCACTCATTGTTGAAGCGGTGAAATCATGGCTATCTATGCCAATCAGCGGCTGTGTAGCGAAGTGTTTGTCGCTCCCCTTCTAACTGGGAGGTTTGAACATTAGGTTTCTCAAACACAATACCAAATTTTTGCGGATCAAACTACGCAATCATCTGAAAACAAACGGCAGAGACGACCTGAAGTGTTTGTGGACCGAATCGTTTAACAACTACATCAAAATTGACAACCAACTCCCAGATTCGAGCAACATCCAACCGACGCTCAAAGCGCTAATGCTGCGACAACAAAGTGCAGAATTTGAACGGTTGACTTCACTCCATTGTCAGGGTACAATAATCTAGACATATTTTTGCGGCTCAGAGTGCTTACTAGTTGCGATACATTGCCAATCTTCCAGAGGTTCTGTTCAGATTTGTCAGAAAAAGTTTGATACAGCAACTGCCGACAAATGCAAATCTGTCCAGATGGGGAAAGGCTTCCACTGCCCAGTTTCCACCATGCAGCAATTAACAAACTAACAAACATGTGGCCTCAAACTGCACTCAACATCGGCGTTAAAGAAGTACACAACAAGACACAACAAAATTCTAACAATAATTCTCGAAAAAATATTATCATGCACCAACCCAAAAGTCTCCATTTTTGCAGATATAGAGACAGGTGAATTTCATCCACTATCTCGCTTTTTCAAGTTACCGCGACCAGATATTGCTTTGCTACGAGACGAAACAATTGAAATACTGGAATTAAGTCTGACCCGAGACTAACTATCTAAATTCTAAAACACATAAACTGTCTAGTTTGCAAAATAACTTGATTGACTACTTTAAACATTTAAAAATAAAATAAATACATTCGAAATCTCAACTCTAGGTTTATTTAAAAGATTTAATTTATCTCTTGTAAACATTATTTGGTCTAATCATTTCTGCAATTAGCATCATTAAATCTGCAATATCGTCGTCGTACGTTATTTGCTGCGATAGAAATATGACTTGAATCAATTTTGAAACTAATTAACTCTAGTTGTACTCATTCTTTGAATGAAGAGCTTCGTAGACTAAATTAATACTCTACTTGATATTTTATTTTTACTCTTATTTTATTCTACTTGACAATTTGCTTCATTTATTGTCATTTTCATTGTTTTATAACTGAATAAAAGATTATTATATATAATATTTAACGTATTTTATAATAATAATAAATTTTATTGTTATATATAATATTTAGCGTATTTTATAATAATAACAATAACTAATATTATTATTATAACTATTTTTTTAAACAAATTGTTAAAAAAATAAATTTGTTTGCTAAACCAAATAACATCGAATAATCTATAAAAGCAACTAAAAATTTGATTGAATTTATTTAAAAGAAAATAATTTATATTGAAAAATTATCAAAATGAGTTAGATTGCCAAAAATTTTTAAAGTTTGTAAACTTTTGCTAATTTGGCAAATTTTACATTTTTTTTAAAAGTTTGTCATAAAAAAAATTATGAACTAACTTGAATAATCTTTAAACTCTTGGCCATGTCGTAATTGTGAAGCAGTTTGTAGAGAGATCTTGTGTGACTAGTGTTATGGTTCAATATATGGTAATTGTAGCTTTCGTTCGAACGATGTTTTGCCCAAACAATGAATCACCCGAACAATGGAAGATTCGCCCGATTATATTTTCGCCCGAAAATAAAAATGTAACATATGGGATGATGCACCAGATCATAGGAATTTTTGCCCAATGACACTTTCACCCGATAATTTAAAAAAATACTTCAAGTGATTCATTCGATCACTGCACACTAATCTACGCCAGACGACAAAAATATTAAAATTGCATTCAAAAAAAACATTATTTACTACATGTTTTAAATTAACACAGTGAACATAAAAATATTCGTAAACACTTTCTTATTAAATTTTTTATGATAATCTTAGTGTAAACATTTTCTGTAGAGTAAAAACTTTTGATAATTAAAACGCTATGCAG